CTCACGAGAAATCTTTTCCCCAAATCTGCGATGTTTTTCTCAACTAAGTTAAGTCGATGAATAAATCCGCTAGCTTCTCGAACTTTTTATTCGACCGGCCCACTGCATAGTAGTTTGACACTAGGAGTGATATGTACTCATGTAAATTTAGGTCCGCCAGGTAATCAAAATCGACACACTTAGAACCGTATGGTGCACAATAAAGCACATCCGTTGCGTTGCGAGCTCCTCGGCAAAGCGGAACTTAATTGTTCCTTGACCAGATCGGTGAAACACCTACATTCATTCAAAGTACATCCTTTTCAGAGTTCTGACAGGGCTCAATCTGTGTTCTGGTCCCTTCTCTCAGGCATTCACCTTCGTGCATAAAAAGTGTTATCTACTACCACCTTTGTGACTCTAAATTTCAATGCACCTTCATTTAGTAATCATTTCTGTCTTATCGTACCCTCTTCCCACCTCCTTCCTTTATATCTATCAGAAAAAGCCAAAGGTGAGTCTTTCATGGCCAATTTTGTTCATTTCAATGTCTGCTTCCTGCCAACTGCTGACTGTCTAATAACTAGCTACTCGGCTTAACCTCCCACTTGCACGTTTTCCTCCCCTGCACCTAGTGGCTTGTCGTTCATTCCACCGCCATGCATGGTGCCCATTTAATCCTGCTTTTTTTGTTCTTAACAGAAGCAAACCCTGCCCATCGGTGCACCCACCAACTTTGTGCACTTACAACATCTGGGCTTCAACAAGGAGTCGCAGCAGTTTGATATGTCGGGTATCGATGATGATATGCTGCAAAAGTTCTTCAAGGACAACAATCTGCAGGGTCTCTTAAAGTCTCAAGAGGATGCCAAATTTGCAATAAATTTCATCGCCCAAAACGTGGGCATCGAGACGGTAAGCCATCTTTCTAGCTCTCTCATTTGCTTGTCTGGTGAGAGTACCCTGCTAACACTCCAAATCCTGAGGGCATTTGCACCATCCACGGTTTCAAATTGACCTTCTGCCTGCTGGGTTTTGATGATGATTTGGCACAGTGACCTATGGTGCGAGAGGCATTTCAGTCCCCCACAAGGTCGCCGGCACGTCGACAGTCA